ACTAGAGGTCGCTGTGATGATCATATTCTCCACAGCTCTGATTCTCTCAGCCCTCGCCGGGTTCAGTGGCGCGCGCCTGTAATCCAAGCTACAGGGAGGCTGAGGCTGCGGATCGCTTGAGCTCAGGGCTTCTGGGCTGCAGTGGACTATGTTGATCGGGTGTCCGCGCTAAGTTCGGTATCGATATGGTTCTCCTGGGGGAGCTCGGGACCACCAGGTCGTTTAAGGAGGGGTGAACCGGCCCAGGTCGGAGACGGAGCAGGTCAAATCCCCCGTGCTGATCAGTAGTGGGATCGCGCCTGTGAATAGACACTGCAGTGCAGCCTGAGCGACACAGAGGGACGCAGACTTTTACACTAGTTGTTTATACTCTGATATATCTTTCTAACAGTAAAAAGAAGTAATAAAGGTTTTGAGATGAATGACATGGCTGTGTGTTAATAATTAGAAATAACTAAAAGTTTAGTTTTTTCGAGTGATGGGTTGCAGCTGGAAGGGCATCTGCTAAACACGTGCTGGATAAGTTGGGGGTTCATTCCGCTGTGGTAAACCAACAAGACTAAGCTGAAAAGAAAATGAATGAATGAATAAAAGTTTATTTGTAGACTAGACATTTTATTTGTAAACAGAAATACAGAAATTATCTCAATTTCATGAGTATATTTTGAAAAGATGATGTTTTAGACAGAAATATGTTTTGCTGTGGTTACTAACTCATAAGTGTGGTCTATCAATATCGGGTGGTATTTAAAAAAATTCTAGAAGAATTTCACTTTAGTTCTCTCCGTGTTGGTGTGGGTTTTCACTGGTTGGTCTGGTTTACCCCACAAGTCCAAAGACATGCGGTATAGGTGAATTGGGTAAGCTAAATTGTCTGTAGTGTATGGGTGTTTTCCAGTAATGGGTTGCAACATGGGAGGGCATCCTCTGCGTAAAACTTATGCTGCATGACCCCCGATTAATAAAGCGACTAAGCCGAAATGAAAATGAATGACTGAATGAATTTCACTTTAAACATAATTTACACATTGTTACTTTGAACCCATCATCTGATATTTGGCAGCTCCATCAAGGGTTCTGCATTGTGTTTTCTTTTTATTGTGGGAATATCCAGACAGGTATCAGCAGTTGTGACGGCTCTTTATTCATAAGGTTTTACTTTTATTTGTTCATCTGTCAGGCTATAGTGATTATTGGCTTTAATGTATTTAGCCTTTCAGTATAGGCCTCCAGCAAAGTAGAAAGAGTTTGGCCTCATAAAATAATCCCCCAAACAGCTGTGAAAATTGACCAAAAACAATCAATTTTATTTTGTCTCTAATTAATATATATATTTATCACAATGAAAAATATTTTTCCTTTTAGAATATTTATTAGTGATGCATGCAATGATTACAGAATAAACAAAAAATGCAAAGAATGGCAATGACTGATTTTTGAAATCTCTTTTGACAATTGCAAAAAGAGACTGAAAGGGCAGAAGCACAGCCTCGTCTGACAGAGGAACAACTGACTCTGACCAAACTGCAGCAAACCAAGGCCAAGGACTTGAGATCCGCCTCCTAAAGGCTACGCTCAGACAAGCTGCTCTCTCCACATCAGATGAGGAAGTCTGAGATTATTGTGGAGTTTTTGACATTAAGTCTTTTTTTTATTTACATCTATATTTGAAAACTTGTTATAAATATCCTCAATGTACAGTGTTTCAGGTCTCAGATGAGTGGACTGCTGGAAGAGGATGCGGTGTTGTTTTTCTTGCTTTTATTATTTATTATTACTATTAATTTAATATTTATTAAGTTTTCATTTTAAAAAAAAAATAAAGTTATGTTGACCCCACGCTGGCTATTCTACTTGTCGCTCTTTACATATCTATAGTTCTACATTGTGATTTCCTATCCTGTTTGAGCACTGGTTATCCAGATTTAGTGATCCTGAAAAGTTCCTATCCGGATCAGTTTGATCCAATTCGATGTTGCTCTGAAAAACTGGCTCAAAAAGTAAGCTGGATTACGTGATCACGGATCGCAAAAACAGAATTACTAAATCTGGATCAATTTGATCCGGATTAAACCTTTTGAAAAAACGGGCCCAGCAGCTGACCGTTACAGATACAGCATGCAGCACCGAGGACCGTCTATCTCTACAGCTTCAGACAGGGTTTTATGACAACCTTTGTAAATGTTTGCAATTAGGAATCCTTCTGCAGAAGACATGTCAGTGTTTATTTTGACGTAAACTGTTATTTTATGAAACATTTAATGTTGCGTGTTTATATGCATATTTTTATATATAATAAATGAATACACATTTAAATACATATGTTTGTGTGTTTTTGTTTCTCTGCTGAAGCACCGCAGTAAAAATTATCTTAGGGTCTCCTTTTGACCAGCAGCAACTCTGGTTGGTAGTTTCCCACTTAGGAAGAGGTCAAATTTCATTTTTACTGTTGATCATCAGTTGGCACCATTAAATCCTTTACATTGCCCCGTGCAAAAGCGTGTCTGACTTTTATATGGAGTTCTGTGGAGTAAAACTGCAATTTATAGAGTACATGCATAAGTACACTTACTATGTTTACTATGTTCTGACAGCTGAGGTGCCTATTTTGTATTTTCTCCTACACATCAATATATGTGTGTAAAAGTCTCTCTTACAACCTCACACACTCACTAAACACCAAATAAAAGCAAGAAATCAAGCTTTTTTGAACTGTAACTGATGATCACCAGTAAAAATCACAAATCTTACCTCTTCCCAACAGGAAAAACCACCAACAATCAAGAATGCATGATTATACGCTGTCATGACGTTGCATTTAAAAATAATGGAAATCATTTGGGCAAAAACAGCCATGAACACAATGAAAGGGTGGTAAATTTGCCCAGAGTGTATTGTTGAGTTTTTAAAAAATTCTAAAAGTATTTTCCCAAAATATGTGTCAACAAAATTTGTCACCAAAAATCATCCCATTTGCTGAACCACAGAGAAATTTGTTGGTAAATTAAGCCTCAAAATCAGCCCAGAGTGGACCAAAACTTCACCAACAGCACAGAAGGGTTAAACACCCCCAAATCCTTGATGGGATGGTTCTAAGAGGCAGTGCTCACTTCTGGACAGAGGGGCAAGTGTAGAAAGTAGCAAGTGGAGATGTTTTGAACCTTCAGCTGACAGCCAGTGTAAGTGGAGAGGTAAGAGAGGTGTGAAGTGGGCTCTCTTGGGATCATTGAAGACCAGATGAGCTGCAACATTTTGTTTGGCCAGGATTGATTAGATGAGCATGTCATCGGTGTAAATCAGAGATGCCCAAACTAGGGCCCGTGGGCCAAAGTGGATCCACGGTAACCTTTGATTTGGCCCTCCATCCCATCTGAGAAGAGAGGGAGAATGATGGGGAGTTTAGTGGGAAAGTCTTTAACAGAGATTGTCATTTTTAATACAACATAACTTTATTTTTTAACTGTTGAGATACAAAAATAAACAAACTGAAATTAAACGTTTCAATGAAATGTTGTGAATGAATCAAATAAAATAATAGTCACTTGAAGGAGAGCAGACATTACAGAAGACATCAGCAAGCGAAGACAAAGTGTATTTTAAGTGTTATAAATGGGATTGTTCATGTTTTATTGTAAGACTTTCATTCATTATAAAATGTATAATTATTAATACAATTAAAGAATTTGAAATGTTGTAAATTACAGTATTCAGTGAATCATGTAAATTATATAATGAATAATAATAATAAATTTGGAAATTACATTGACAATTTTACAGTTTGGTAGATTTACCTCCAGCCCACCACCCTCAGACGAGTTTAGTTTTTGGCCTTTCATAAGAAAAAGTTTCCCTGAAGCACCTCTGAAATAAACTTTAACTAAAAGTTTTAGATTCTGAGCAGGACAGCACACTGGTTCTCCCGCAGCATGTTTTGTTCATCATTTCTATCTTAATGTGTTGATCATTTTCTGTTGTGTTTCTGTATTGTGTGAAGGTCAACCAGTCCACAGTTTATGCTGCTATAATCTTTATTCAGTTTTATTCATAAACTATGTACAATATATACACTGTGCTCACGTCGGCTCCAGGTCTCTTGGGTGAAGGTCTCTCAGTGACGTGGTCTCTTCTGGTCGCCGTGCGTCTCTGGTGGAGATGGGGAGCGGGAACGTTTCCCTCTGGCGTCCTGGACTGAAGATGCTGCACCAGCTGAGGAAGAGGAGGACAGCGGCTTGGTCTGGCAGGAGAAGGACGGCCTCTTTTTCTTCTCAGCAGCATAGGCCTCACTGAACAGATTGAGCGCAAACACACACAAGCAGACATAATGTGAGATTTTCACAAACACTATAACATGCTGCAATGCCAAGTACAGTTTACTCACGCGTCTATGATGGGAATGACGTATTTGCCGCTGCCGTCCATCATGACTCCCTTTCGGTTTGGGTCGTCCACCTCCAACAGGAAGCTGCGGGGAATCCCTGTGCTCCTCCTGATGCGCTTTTGCGAAGCAGAGCTGCTGCCCTGTGAATTCATGAGTGACAGTCAAACGACAGAGCAAACAATCTGACTGATGGAGACAAGAGCTCAAGTTCACAGCAACCATAAGCTTAGAAAACCCAGTTACCCCTTTAGAGGGGCAGTGCCTAATGTGGTGTCCTGGGATCCCACAGTGAAAGCAGACATAGTTGGGTGGAAGAAGCCCAAGCAGTGTCATGGCCTCACTGATGAACATCAGAACCATGAGAATCAGCTCTAACATTTCTCACAAACCAAACCTGTCAGTGTCTGAACGCTCACCTGCTGGAGTAGTAGCACAGACTGGACTGGTACATCACCGCTTTTAGCTTGTCCTCCTCTGATGCCTTTGCCTCAGCCAAATTCTCAGTCTGTTTCACAGGCATTTGCACATTAGAATTTTATTTTACTGGTCTGCCTAAGAAGCTGTGTGTGTGTGTGTGTGTGGGGGGGGGGGGGGGTGGGGGGGGGGGTGGGGTTACACTGTGTATTGATATTCTGCACTACATGTCATTATGACTCCTCAAATGCAAACACTGCAGTTCAATACAGAGCAGCACAGTGGGGTGAATTAATCATTTGTTCAATACCTTCAACAGCTGCTCCAGTGAGAGGAGTGAAGAATCACCTGTTTGAGAAGATTTAGCTGATGGTCCAGCTTGATGTCTGCAAAACAAAGGAGCTTGTGTGACTAAAACACCACAGACAGACTCAAACTCTTGATATAACATCTATCAGAGGATGATTGCGCTCATTTCACATGACTTACCCAACAAATCTTCTGTTGGAGGACTTCAGTCCAGCCGCAGGGACCCGTCTGATGATGACAGATGTGTTTTTGGGGATGAGAGCATCATCATCTGTGTATTCTGACAGCAAAATAAAGTTTGAATATAGTAATAATCATTTACCATGGTATACTTTGAGTGCCATTAGCATTTTAAAACACTCAAAACATCACTATATGTCACCATCAGAGTCATGATAACACATGTCAGCTTCTACAAGTCTGTCTGATAACACATCTAATGTTAGTGTAGTAACTGTTATAGTTTAAGTGGCTTTTCCTCATCTCACCTTCATCAGTTTGGGCTTTGCTGATCTTCAGCTGGCAGAACTTCAGCCTCTCGCGCCTCATGATCTGCCGCTTCAGCTCTCCCACAGTGATGTTGAGGCCCTCAAACTGGAGCGAGTCGTAGGTGAGTCGACTCTGAAACCTGTAATGAACACAAGACATACTAAACACAAAACACAGTGTGATAACAAGGGTCAAACCTGAATGAAGGGAGCAGCAGGCGATCAATCGATGTATCCAACAATCAATAATATCAATAATCTGGGAATCAGTTGCCACGAAGGACGCCGAGATCAGATGCCAATGACAGAGCGGAGTTCAAAACAACACAAAAAGAACCGTTGCCATGGATGCTGACGATCACGTGACGAGGCGCTAAAAAACTTCCGCGTTATTTTCTCATAAATAATAGTGAAATCATTACTATGATAATAATAAAATAAACAGCAGAACAGTTGGCCATCTCTGAATAATACACAGCTGCGTTTCCCTACACGAAGGATTCAGGACTCTGTATAAAGTCGGGCGAGTCACTGAATCAGTGATTCGTGGCTGAATGAATCACTTAAAGCTTCACTCGATTAAAGCGGTCTCTTGCTGCCACCTATTGGCGATTTGTTTTTCCGTTTTAAAGTTTTTTTTTTTGTTTTTTTTGTTTTGATGGTGCAATAGTTTTTTTATTTTTTATTAGATCTTATAAGAACATACAGAAAAAAGAACAAATGACCGAACAAAGAAACATCTTATTCATCTAGAAAGTCCAAATAGCAGCATTCACACAAAAAACAGATAAAAAACAAATAAATATATATTAAAAAAATAATAAAATTGAAATAAATAAAAAGCAAAATACAATGCACTATAATACAAAGGGGTTAATCATCAAAAAATGCCTTTAACAGACTACACAGTTTAAGGGCTTTTTTATGTCTCATCAGCTTTAAGGAATTGAAGAAGACCATTAAATCCTTGTGGAAACGCAGAAAAGTGGGGGGGTTATTAAAAAATCTGCATTTATGAATGAAATAGTTTGCCAAAGTCACAATATTGTTAACCAAAAATTCCAGCTCAGAATTCTGACAAAAAGATAAATATTTTACAGTTTTAATATCAAAATCAGGTATTACATATTTTAATCTTAACCAAACAGTAATGTCATCCCATAACTTTTTTGAAAATTTGCATAAATAAAACAAATGTTCCAATGACTCTATGTCTGCTTCACAAAAGGTACAAACGTTACAATCCAAATTAAATCTGTGTCTGAGGAACTCATTACAAGGATAAATATCGTTAATAATTTTAAACTGAACTTCTTTTGCCTTTGGTAGAAGTGGAAAAGAGAGAAATCTTGTTCGAATTCGAACCACCTTGTCTTCTGGAAAATCTAAAACAAGGGGTCTTTTCTTAACTTTAGAAGGGAAAAGCTGTGTATTTACTAACCTTCTTAAGCTCTTATTATTACAGCTCTGCCCAGTAAAATTAATACCAGAAATAATAAGGTTGCCCAATCTTGGTATCACAGAAGAATAACCCAATTCCCCTTTGATTAGCTGAACCAAACCACCAGGAATAGCTTTCAACAAAGACAAATACAATTTCTAAGTACAAATAATATGGTATTTTTCACAAAAATCATCATAATTAAGGAAATTTCCAACCCCATCCAAAATTTGTAAAATAGACCAAACACCTTTGTCCATCCACTCTTGAAAAAACACAGATTTCCTCTTAAGAAGTATATACTTATTATTCCACAAAGAACAGCTATGTGGCGAAAAATTATGTTTGTATATTAACTTCCAATACTGTAATACCTGACTATGAAAAGATGACAATTTACACTTTAACTTTGATGGCTCAAAATCGCATCTTAAAAGAAAGTCTATGCCCCCAAAGAAATCAAAAATTTTAGAAGAAAACCTAAACCAGAAAGAATGTTTATGTCGAAGGAAGGTTTGAAGCCACTTCAGCTTAAGGGTACCATTCATAACATCAAAATCAATTACATTCAATCCACCTTCAATGATTGGTTTCACTACATCTGATTTTCTTAGAAAATTGATGCTTATTTTTCCATAGAAATTTATATTGCATTTGATTCAGATTTTTAACGTACCTATCAGAAATACTTAAAGAAAAAGCTGGGTAAATCATCCTGGAAAGTGCTTCTGACTTTTGTAAAACAATTCTACCAAAAATAGATAGATCCCTTTGAACCCACAAATTTAATATTTTTTGACTTTTTATCAAATTATCCATCAAATTAGCTTTTTCCCTATCTTTAGGGTCTTTAGAAATAACAACACCCAAGTATTTTACCTCATTTTTAACTGGAATATTGAACAGTTGTGTTTCGGTATGGTTATGGATTGCCATAAGCTCACATTTTTTTAAATTCAATTGCAGACCAGAAGCATTTGAAAAATGAGACACCAGATTAATGGCAACTGAAATCTGCTCTGCATTACTGAGAAACAGGGTGGTATCGTCTGCTAGTTGACTTATTATTAATTGACTCCCTAAAACATTCAAAGTTCTGATAGCTCTGCAATTTTTAACATACAATGCTAATAATTCAGCTACTAAAATAAATAAATATGGGCTTGTTGGATCCCCTTGTCTGATGCCTCTATTAATGTTAAACCTCTTCGAAGTCCCAAATGGTAATGATACTGAACTATTTATGTCTTTATATAACATTTCTATTACTTTAACAAATTTATGACCAAAACCAAAAAAATTCAAAATAAAATTATGTTCTACAGTATCAAATGCCTTGTAGAAGTCAAGAAATAAAACAAACCCAACAAACCCTTTAATTAAATGTCCATAATCAATTAGATCTAAGACAAGTCTAATGTTGTTGTGAATTAGCCTTCCTTTAATAAAACCAGACTGAGTTTCACTTATAACTTGATTCAATCTAAATTTCAATCTATTAGCTATAGCAGATGTAAGAATTTTATAATCCACATTGAGTAGAGTAATCGGCCTCAAATTCTCAATAATTCTTTTATCTTTGTTTGCCTTTGGAATAAGAATAATTAAGCCCTGTTTCATAGTTGTAAGTAAAGTATTAGAATTAAAACACTATTTTAATGCTGCAAATAACAAATGTTTTATATCCTCCCAAAAAAATTTGTAGAAGTTAGTAGTCAAACCATCCTGACCAGGAGACTTACCCAAACACATTTTTTTAATAGCTGCTTTAAGTTCCTCTAGCTTCAAATCCTCATCACACATTTCTTTAAATTCAATATCTATCTGTGGGATATAATCTTTAACCTTTTCTAGAAATTGAATAGCATAATTTTCAGAATATGATGTAGAATAAATATTACTATAAAATGAATATATTTCCTCAGATATCAGTTTAGAATCTGTAATTATTGTATCCTTAATAACTAAAGTATGAATTGCATTACTTTGCTGTCTCCTCTTTTCTAATTGACAAAAGTAAGCTGTGTTCTTCTCTCCTTCTTCCATCCATTTTGCCCGAGACCTTACAAAAGCTCCTTGTGCTTTCATTACATACATGCTGTCTAATTTAGCTTGAAGAGTGATTCACTTTTCCACATCTTTAACCTTATCGTGTGTTACAGCAATCATTAATTTCCTGAATTATTCTTAATTCTTTTTGCAATATATCGCTTCTCTTTTGTTTACCAAACCGAATAGAAATTTCCCTGGTTTTAAATTTAAATTACTCCCATTTAATCCCACTTAAAATATATGACATAGCAATTGAATTATGAAAATAGTGATATTAAAGCTAGTCCTATAGTTCAGAGATCCGGTCCCCGCGTCAGGTCAGGTGCGGCCGTAAATAGCCTTTAAAACGCGCACACGGCGATGGAGGCGCACTCAACTCACAACGGAGAAAAGTGGGTGACATGATAGGAGCAGCTTAATTCATTACATGCTTTGGTTAACTAATTATTTAAACACAACTCTCTTGAGCTCTAAAAGGAAAAAACACATAAGAAATTTGCTGTTAAATTAATTTTAGCAGAGACGCAACTGCCAGTCATTTAGTTCGGGAAGATGTAGCCTAATAAAAATGTTTTAATAAAAACAAATAGTTTACTGCACAGTCCCACAGTAGGCTACACTATAAATAATATTTTAATTTTATTTATTAATATTATTATTAATATTATTACAATTAAACTAAAATTGACAAAACGCAGAACCCTTTGAATGTTTGCTTTCATTTTGCTAAAAAGCGCACTTTTACAGTTGTGTAGAGAAACATCCCATTATGCAGCAGCAGTCAAGGTATAACACATAATAAATGCCTTTTGCGTTTATTAAGTCAAGTTTGCAGTGTTATAAATGGAATATAGTGCTTAAGTGGATTTATCGCGGATCAACTGAGAAACCTATCACGCGCTGCAGGTAAGCAGAATGATAATCTTTTAAAAATATGTCATTTAGGCTATACAGGTTTTTGCTCATGCAAAATTAAACAAAATATATTGTAGATCTATTTTAAGAGCTAAAATACAACATATCGAGTTTGTTTTGACTTGTAGCTCATGGCCCTAAAATGAAAATAACCTGAAAACAAGCTATTAAAAAAGGCTTAATAAATTAAATAATTAATAAATAAAATTATGGTAGGCTTAGTAACCTAATGGTTTATGATGGCTTACAATTTCACGAAAAAAACACACTTATGATAGCCTAAGATAAATCTTTGTTTTTACATTTAAAATCATGAAAAAAAGTTATATAGCATATTGAGTGTTATCCATGCCAAAATTTAACCATTTTTCACTTTAATAACGTGTGAATTTTGGTATCTTTTTAGGTATTTTTCTGGCTACACTAATGCCTTAAAATGAAGCTAAGTAATTGTTTTAAATGACATTAAATTGTAACATTTAGCTCTTCCCTAACAATGATGTTGGTTGGATAATACGTGAAGCGGGATGACTCGGTTGAGCTGATTTTACTATATTTATTTACCGGTTAAATGAATAGTCTGATCGTGGGTCAGCTTGCATACAACTGCATATTGTTATTACTATTAAAACGTAGCCTATATTACTGCCTTAGTTCAGTAACTTGGGCAGTAATGCAAAGTAATAATAAATGTGAATAAATAGCCTAAATGAAAGAAACAAGAGAACAAAA